GGCAGGAGTGCATGGAGGGATGGACACAGGGAAGAGGTAACTATGGGGAGGAAGTGGGAGGGGAGCTGTTGCATTATGGTAAACTGTGGTCAATGTCATGAGACAAAGTATATTTGAACCGCTGTATAGAAAGTGAATTTGTTCTGTAAACCTTCACCCAAATCACAATTAAAAAAACAAAAACAAAAACCGATGCTTAATGAAAAAAAGAAAGAAATTGTGTTAGGCTGGGTTCCCTAGAGAAACTAAAACCAGTAAAGCTTATATATATATGTATATACATATAGAAAATTATCTTAGGAAAATGGCTCACACACTTATAGAAGCTGGCAAGTCCAAAGTTCCTGGATCAAACGTCAAGCTAGAGGCTTTTCCCAACTCTTGCAATCACAGGGGCTGAGGAGCTCAAGGTTGGCAGGCAGTACACTGGCTGTTGACTCCAAAGAATGACTAATCCAAGATCTCCAGGCCAAGTGGTGGACTGTTCACTCACAGACAGTTGTAGGCAGCACAACAGAATCCCGATCCACTGAAGAATGTCTCACTTCCCAGGATGTCCTTGGATATACTGGAAGCAGGCCACAGTCCTAGGGAAACTCCCTTTCAACAGATTGCCTGCTCAAAACACAATCATCTGATCCCATCATGGGTATAACCACATTGCAACAGCTTAAACCACACAGAATTGTGATCCAGCCGAGTTGACACACAGCTCCAACTATCACAGAAATATAAAAAAGGATTAAGTTTAAAACGACTTCAATCAGATTTTTATAAATGATCACTGTTAACATTTTGATGTGCTTCTTTCCTGTCTTATCTGGGCTTATTATTTCTCAGTATATGTGTGCTTGTGTGTTTTTAGCCAAACAATTATGAGGAGCCTTGGTGGTGCAGTGGATAAGTGCTTGTCTATTCACCAAAAAGTTAGCAGTTAAACTCACCAGCTACTTTGTAGGAGAAAGATGTGGTAGTCTGCTTTCATAAAGATTACAGCCTTGTTAACTCTATGAGACAGTGGAATTGACTTGAAGGCAGTGGGGTTTGTTTGTATTTTTATAAAGCTATGTGTATAGTTCTGGTTCTTTTTCTAAAAAAACTTCACATTATGAACATTTCTCATGCCATTAAAAATTCTTTGAAAGCATCCTTTTTTTATCAACTGTGTAATATTTCATTATTTATATTTACTTTAATAAGAACACATTTGTATTTGCAGTCATCATTGAGCCAGTTCCAATTGGACAAGCTGCTAAGGATTATCTAAATTTGTATGTAACACCAACTCTGCTTCGAGGACTCACAGAGCTTTGTAAGCAAAAACCAGCAGATCCGTTGGTAAGAAATTTTTTTTTATTCACACTAAAGAAATATTTCTATAGTTTTCATGTTTAAGACTGTGTTAGGCTGGGATCTCTAGAGAAGCACAACCAGTAAAGCTTATGTATATATATAGAGAGAGAGAGAGAGAGAGAAATTTATCTTAGGAAAATGGCTCACACACTTATAGAAGCTGGTAAGTCCCAAATTCTTGGATCAAACGTCAAGCTGGAGGCTTTTCCTGACTCACAAAGCTGCAGGGGCTGACAAGCTCAAGGCTGGCAGGCAGTACACTGGCTGTTGACTCTGACGAATGATGAATCCAAGATCTCCAGGCCGAATGGTGGACTGTTCACTCACAGACAGTTGTAGGCAGCACAGCAGGATCCAGATCCACAGAAGAGCGTCTCCTTTTTCCAGGATGTCCATAAAAAGCAGGCCACACCCCTAGGGAAACTCCCTTTCAATGGATTAGCTGCTCAAAACATATACATCTGATCTCATCGTGGGAATAACCCACATCACGATTGCTTAAACCACTCAGAATTATGGCCCAGCCAAGTTGACACACAACTCCGGCTATCACAAAGACATTATATTCTTTGAAATGGAAAAGGTATTGAGAGTCAGTAAATAAATAAATAAGAGTTTAAAATAAGAGTCTTAAAAAGCTATTTCATATCCATTTTAGATCTTCCCTATGTATAAATTTTGATTAACTATTTTCTTGCTTTTTTTTTTTTTTTAATTGTGATTTGGGTCTTCTGGTGGCATAGTGCCTAAGGCATTTGCCTGCTAACCAGAAGGCTGGTGGTTCAAACCCACCAGCCACTCCTCGGAAGGAAGGTTGGGCAATCTACTTCTGTAGTGATACCACCTTGGAAACCCAAGGAGGAGTCACTGTGAGTTG